GGGGGGGCTTGGAAGCGATGTCCCGTGAGCAGAACAGCCCTGCTGGGACCCCTTGCGTGTGATGGGAGTTGAGAGTGCATGGGTTTGGGGGTGCATAGCCCAGGCCCAAGGGAGGACGGGAAGCAGATCTAATTTGCTGGGCTCCCGAGGCGGCAGGATCAATTGCGGGCTGTCTTCCCGCAGAGGCCCGCCTGCCATAGCAACCCGCACAGCTGCCATTGAGCCGGAGCGGGAGAGGGCGCGGCGCGCGGGGCTCCGAGAGGAACAGTTACCAAGGAGACCCAAACCCGAGTTGGGGGAGGCTTCCTCCTCCCCCCCCCCACCCCACCCCGCCCCGGGTCCATACCGAGAGAGGAGGGGTGCGGCCCGGGCCGCAGGGGATGCCGGGAAGTTCCCCTCTGGACTCCCGTTGCTCCGGGCCAGAGCCGCCAGATGTTGCCGCGTGCCAGGCTCGAGGGGCCGAGGCGCGGGCAGGAGGGCCTGGGCTGGCCCCCAAGCACGTTCCCAGGGCGGAGGAGGCCCCGGCTGCCGCCGCGGTCCCCAAAGACCTCGGAAAGAATGACATGACAGAGCGGGGACTTCCTACCCACTGTCTCCCTGCGGGGCTCCAGGAAAGGGCTGTAGCCTTTTCTCCGCCCCTTTCCCCACCAGCCCTGGAGTGGGGCGCGAGGGACCATGGGGTGTGCATACTCGTCTCTGCTGGAGGAGCCCCCCCTGAGAAGGTCAGTTTCAGAGAGGGCCCCTAGCGGCACACTGGGCTTGAGTGTGGCCGGAACGTCTTTCTGGCCCAGGGCATGCCCAGAGATGCAGGAGAGGGCTTCGGAGAGCTGACCACCAGTAGCGGGGGCGCGGGGCGTGCTTCTCAGGGGTCGGTTTCCCCAAAGTGTCTCCAGCGGAGGGGGAGTCGGGGCGGGTGTTGCGAGGCTGAGCCTGGGCGCCTGTCCCGGGTTCACCAGCTGGGCTGCGGAGGAGAGGAGAGGCGAACTCTGAGAGAAGGGATTTGACCCGAAAGTCAGGAGGTCCAGCCCCCACCCCCGTTGCCTCTGGGAGAGCAGGTGCCCTGTGGAAGACCAGGCTGAGGCGCTCTGGTTTGGAGGGGCAGCCAGTCTCGGGGCACCTGCCAGGGTGTGTGAGCCAGATGAACTGACCAGGTGAGCTCTACTCCAGGCTGAGCTGTTCCTCAGGGGCAAGTCTTAACCAGTAGGAGAAAGGGCATTGGTGGGGCAGTGCCCGAGAGAGGTACTGGGGCCTTCCCAGTCTCCTTGGGTTCCCTGCCCAGGCCAAGGGGCGGGCCTGGGGGAATCCAACTGTTCCCTCTGGGGTCTTTGGAAAGCACTTACCCTCCCGGGAAAGGCTCTACCTCGGTGGTCCAGCGGGACTTGCCTGGGCTCTGGTTCCCAGGCCGCTTCCCCACCCCCTGCGCTGGGTGGCCAAAGCTGAGCTCTTCCCAGCAGCCCGAGCCGGCAGCCCCCGGGCCGCCTGCTGGTGTGACTGTCTCTCCTAGGAGCCGTTTTTCTGTCTCTGAGAAGCAAGACTGCCTTTGCTGGTTTTGTGCTCCATCAGCGCTCCCTCCCTTTGAGTGCTTGTGGCCAGGCCTGTCTGAGTCACCCACTGTGTGGTCTGCACAATGCCAGCAAGGCCCCAAGCGTCTTTGAACTCAGAGCATAATGGAAACGGCGGCGGCCTTCCCCCTTCCTGGAATGATAGCAAGTCCCCGTTGTGGGGCTTTACAGAAGAGAAGCCTGAGCCGAGACTGAGGGCTCAATAGGAAGTAACTGTCTAGAAATGAATGAAGGCAACATATGTACAAACATGCCTGATGCAATCAATGTATGCAGTGTAACAAGAGTTGTAAGAGTTCTCAATAAAATGATCTTTTACAATAAATAAAGAGGCCTGAGCTCAGAGACCAGGGCCCTGGTGGCTTAGTGAACTACTGGTTGGGCTGCTAACTGCAAGGTCAGCAGTTCAAAACCACTAGCTGTTCCTTGAGAGAAAGATGAGATTTCTGCTCCTGTAAACTGTAAAGATTTGTCTCGGGGAGACTCATAGGGGCCCCTCTACCCTGCTCTATAGGGTCACCATGAGTGAGGTCAGAGAGAGACGTGACTGGCCCAATAGCAGGCATGGTTGGTGGCTGAGTCAGGATTTGAACCCAAGTCTCTCCTCCTAACTCAGTTGCTACCATCCAGCCATGATTTTCCACAGACCTTGTTGTCCCCAACCTGATGCCGGGTCATTTGAAGGCATGGATGAGTGCCTGTCCCAGGGTCTGCCCTGCTCAGACTGGCATTGCCTGGGTAAGATCAGCCAGGCCTCTGGACGGCGGGGTTTGCTTTTGTCCTTTCTTCCTTCAGCACGTCTTCAAGTCCCCCTGCTTTAAGAGTTAGAGACATTTGTCCTTTGAGGAAAGGACAGGAGCTGACTTTTTAGTTGGCGTCAGGTCCTCTCAGAAGCGGGGACAGGCGTCCCACAAATGCCTTCTCGGCCCAAGTCTGCCCACGCCGGGCAGAGGACCCAGGACAGACTGCCCAAGAGTGTCATGTTCCGAGCGCTTGAATCCACTGAGGGAAAGGGGCCATGTTGAAGACAGGGACCCATCGCCTGAGCGTGAGGGGAGGGGCCGGGGAAAGGGGGCAGTGGCTGCGAAAAGAGAACTCAGGTTCCATTTTGAAGGACAGATGGGGCTTTGTGGGCAGGGGGAGAAGGGCAGCCTGGAAGAGGACAGGTGGAAACACAGCCGGAACCAGCGGGCGTGGACAGGTGTGGTGGGTGGTAGGGCTGGGTCCTCTCATTTAGCATTGATCAGCTCACTGCCATCTAGTCGATGCCAACTCATAGCGACCCTCCAGGGCAGGGTAGAACTGCCCCTGCCAGTTTCTGAGACTGGGACTCTGGAGGGGAATAGAAAGCCTGGTCTTTTTTGCCTTTCTCCCTTGGATCACCTGGGGGTTTGGAACTGCTGACCCTGTGGTTAGCAGCCCCGTGCATAACCACTGCGCCCCCAGGGCCCCTTACCTTCTTTGATAAGGGGGCTCATGTATCAAATGCATTGCCATCGAGTCGATGCTGACTCCTCAGGACCCTGCAGGACAGGGCAGAGCTACCCCATAGGGTTTCTAAGCCTTTAGATCTCTACGGAAGCAGCAAGCCACATCTTCCTCCCATAGATTCAAACCACCGGACTTCCAGTTAGCAGCCAAATGCTTAACCACTGAGCCACTGGGGCTTCTGTTCCGGGTTTGACCATTCTACTGGGCCTTATTGTTGTCCATTTCACTGGCACCTTCAAAATCCAAAGAGCCCTGGTGGCAACGTGGACTAGGCTTTGAGGTACTTAGCACAAGGTCAGCGGTTCAAACTCACCAGTCTGTCGTCTGTAGGAAGATGAGGCTCTGCTTCCATGAAGAATTTAAAAGTCTTGGAAACCCAAAGGGGCAGTTCTGCTCTGAACTATAGCATTGGCCGATGGCAATGGATTTGGTTTGATATTTAGTTCTTCAAGATCAAAACCAATCTCTCTTGAATTATTTGTATACATAATACTTCTTAAAAGGTATTTTCTTCTGCCAAAAGCATATTATTTCTTTTCTTTGCCACTGTCAAGTTGATGTCCACTCATAGCAACCCTATAGGACAGGCTAGAACTGCTCCTATGGATTTCGGAGACTGTAGCTTTTCACGGGACTAGAAAGCCTTGTCTTTCTTCTTGGAGCACGCTTGGTGGATTTGACCTGCCGACCTCACAAGTCTAACAAGTGACCTAAAGAGGGGTGGGTGGGGCAGGAGCGCCTTTTCCAGTCCTCCTCCTGAACCAAGGGCCAGCTTCCATCTTGGTCACTGGGGGGTGGGTGGGGGTGGGGCGCAGGGTGGAGCCGGGCTGTCCCTCGTGCTGCTGCAACATGTGCATCTCACGGCCTTTCACCACCTGTGTTTTTCAGGACTTCCTCGGTCAAAGACAGCAGCTTTGTGGAAAAGATGAAGAAGACGGTGAGTTGGCTCCCAGAAGGTGCTCTTCTCAGTGTGTCTTGACCCTGGTGGCCACGCAGGGAGCCCAGTGGATGGGCAGCTTCACTAGACGTCAGGAGCCCCCTGGTTAACAGGGGGCAGCCGGGACTGACCCTTTTGTATGTGCGTCCTTACCTCTCCAGAGCTGCTGTGCTGTTTCTGGGATGCCGGCTTTGTGTGTTTTTAAATCACTTCCTTCTGGAACAAACTGCATTATGAGAGCACACCCTCCGTTAACTCGTACACGGAGCCTTGGTGGCTCGTGGGCTTAAGCATTGGGGCTGCAAACCGGGAGGTCAGCAGTTCAGACCCACAAGCCACTCCTGGGGAGAAGAGCGAGGCAGTCTGCTTCCATCAGAAACCCAACGGGGCCACTCTAGTCTGACCTGCAGGCTCATTCTGAGTGGGAATCAACTTGCCAGCAGTGGGTGTACTCTGGGCTTGATTCATCCCCCACTGTGTCATGTGGCACTGCCATCTAGGCAATGCCAACTCATATGACCTCCTAGGACAGTATAGAATTGTCCCTGGGGGTTCTGAGGCTGCCACTCTTTTCGGGAGTAGAAAGCCCTGTCTTGCTCTGTATGGGTATATGAATATATTATCATTTATTTTAACACTACCACATTGATGGGCACTTAGGAGAGTTCTGATCTTTTGAACTTACAAATAGTGCTGCCCTGAATGCGTGGGTGAACTTGAACATTTGCAAATACGTCTGTCTCAGGAGAACGGCTCCCGGCAGTGGAATGGCTGGGCTCAAAGGTCTGTATTGTCTGTGGTCGGGGTGGACACTCCAGACAGCCCTTCTGGAGGGCTGTCCCAGGACGCTCTCAGCAGCAGCAGAGGGAAACCCTGCTTCCCCTCAGCCTTGCCAACAGTTTATCAAACATTTGGATTTTTGCCTGTTTCCTAGGCTCGAAAATGATAGTATAGGTGTCGTCCGCATCTTTCTCATGAATGGGGTTAAGCACATTTCCCTATGTCTAGATGGCATGCTTGACCCCCCCGCCCTTTTTTTAATTCTCAAATATTTTCCCCATTTTTCTGTTGGAATGGATCTTCCACCAGGAGCACCTTAAAATCATTAGGGAGATGATTCTTTTCTCTGTGGTTTGAGCTGAAGGGATTTTCTCCAGGGAAAGAGTTGGCTTTTTTGGTATCTTTTTATTGTGATTTGAGTGAAAGGTTACAGAGTACCTGGGCCCTCCACTCGATGATTCCTGAACAGTTTGTTTCCTGCCACTGAATGTAAGTCCCCACCAGGTGACAGCATGCTGGACTTTAGCCTCTGAAAGACCTTTCCCACCCTAAAGATATACAATAATTCTTCTGCATTTGCTTCTAGTGCTTTGACAGGTTCGTATTTGTTACGTACATTTCCATCGAGCAGTGGCGTCTCATGGTGTGAGCTGTGGATCCGGCTCTCCTTTGCGCTCGGCTCTCCAAAGACCTGGCAGGGTCTGTCTCTTCTCTGCTGGTCTCACACGCTGTCTTTATCTCGCCCTAGAGCTGTTCCAGTCTATGTCCACGATGTGCTATTGTAGTTCTGTGATCTGTGTACACCCACTGTCGTACTATTTTAATTATTGAGTTGTATAATTTGGTTTCCTGTCTGGTAGAGCCAGGCCCTGCTCCACTGCCTCCCATTACTCGATTTCCCAGCAATTCCTTGGCTGTTATTTCTTATATATCTGTTTACTGTAACTGTTTCTGGGAGTAGAAAGCCCAGTCTTTCACCCGCCGAGCTGCTGCTGGTTTTGAACTGCCGACCATGTGGATCACAGCCCAACACATAACCACTACACCACCAAGGCTTCAGCTATGAGTCAGCACTGACTTGATGACAGTGAGCTTGATTTTTTTTTTTTTGGCATTGTGGACATCTTTAGTGGCATAGAACTCCCTGACCATACAGTTCACCCCTTCGTGTGTACAGTGCCCACCACTTTTAGTGCCCACAGACTTGTGCAGCAAGCACCACAGCCCATTTTAGAACATTTCCATCACCTCGGGGAGAAACTGGGTACCGGCTAGCAGTAACCCGTATCCCTCCATGTCGATCGCAGTCCTAGGCATCCGTCCGTCTGTCTGTCTCTAGAGTTGCAGATTCCTGGCATTCCAGTCAATGCACTACTCGGGTCACAGTGATCCCTTGAGACCGTGTTCGTGGGCCACCCACCATGTGCAGCAGGCATCAGTTGGTGGCCCAGCCATCTTCCATTGTGTGGTTGCAGATTTGTGTTTCTCTAGAAGTAGCTGAGGGAAAAGAATCGCTGGCATGTTTCCTGGGATCACGGAGAACTGACAGCTCAGAAGGCTGGGGCTTCCGACCGCAACAGAGTGCCTTCCTGTCCACCGGAGTCTGTTTTCTCTCTCTCTTTTACCAGTCTGTAATTGCTAGCTGGTTCCTTAAGAACATATGTCTATATGTTTTATAGCTACTGTGATTAATTAGCTACTGTTTTACATCCGCTTTGGCAGAGTGGTTACCCATTGGGCTGCGATCGGCAAGGTCACCAGTTCTAAACCCCCAGCCGTTCCAAGTGAGAAAGAGAGGGCTTTCTTTTCCTGTAAAGAGTTACATCTCAGAATCCCACAGGGGCCGTTCTGTTCTGACCTACAGGAGCCACATCAACTGGACGGCAGTGGATTTGATGTAGGTTTTGTCTCTTCTAGGAAAATAGTTTTTCTAGCAGTTATTTTCAAATATCTTTTATAGTGATTTTAAAATGTGTTGTAGGAAACTCAGAACAGTTAAAGAAGGAAACATTAAGTCAGTTGTGATTTGTAAGGTTCCTTTGTACTGTATACCTGTATACTGTATCTGTATACCTGTGCACACCATACTGTATACTGTATCTGTATACACCATACTATATCTGTATACCTGTATACACTATACTGTATACCTGTATACCTGTATATACCATACTGTATCCTGTATCTGTATACACCATACTGTATCTGTATACCTGTATACACCATACTGCATACCTGTATCTGTATACCTGTACACACCATACTGCATACCTGTATACTGTATCTGTATACCTGTATACACCATACTGTATCTGTATACCTGTATACACCATACTGTATACTGTATCTGTATACCTGTATACACCATACTGTATACTGTATCTGTATACACCATACTGTATCTGTATACCTGTATACACCATACTGTATACCTGTATCTGTATACCTGTATACACCATAATGTATACTGTATACCTGTATACACCATATTGTATACTATATACCTAATCTGTATACCTTTATACCTTTATACTGTATACCTGTATACACCATACTGTATACTGCATACCTGTATCTGTATACCTTTATACTGTATACTTTATCTGTATACACCATACTGTATACTGTATACCCGTATCAGTTAGTGTTCAATAACAAATAACAAGCTACTTTGGGCATTTTAAACTGGAGAAGATTAAAACACAGGGAAATGGGCTTACAGAATTCCTGGGAGGACAGAAGGAGCAGGTTTCAGTCTGGTCTCCAGCATACTAGGGGGTAACTCTCCCCACCCCCCAAAAAGCTATGTATTTAAGTTTTTTTACAAAACAACCATATCACCTTCAAAGTACTCTCCATTACATTTAATATATTTGACAAATCTGAGATTCCATTCTTGGAAACTTTTTAAAATCATTTTATTGGGGACTTGCACAACTCTTATCACAGTCCACACATACATCCATGTGTCAAGGACATTTGTATATTTGTTGCCATCATCATTCTCAAAACATTTGCTTTCTACTTGAGCTCATTTTTCCCCTCCCTCCCTATCCGCCCCACCAATGAACCCTTGATAGTTTATAAATTATTATTTTGTCATATTTTACACTGTCCAATGTCTCCCTTCACCCACTTTTCTGTTATCTGTCCCCCAGGGAGGGGGTTATATGTAGATCCTTGTAATCAGTTCCCCCTTTACCCCACCTTCCATCCACCCTCCCGGTATCGCCATTCTCACCACTGGTCTTGAAGGGATCATCTGTCCTGGATTCCCTGTGTTTCCAGTTCCTATCTGCCAGTGTACATCCTCTGGTCTAGCCTGATTTGTAAGGTAGAATTGGGATCATGATAGTTGGGGAGGGACCGGGGGAGGAGCATTTAAGAACTAGAGGAAAGTTGTATGTTTCATCATTGCTACACTGTACCCCGACTGGCTCGTCTTGGAAACATTTTTCAAACTCATCTGTTTGGATGGCTGACAGTACCTCCCTCATTTTTTTCCTTCACCTCTTCTCTGTTTTCAAATTGCTATCTTTTCATGTCCCTCTTCATTTGGTGGAAACAAAAAGAAGTCACACAGAGCAAGGTCAGGGAGTCAGGTGCGTGGGGCAAGAGAGGCATGCTGTTTTTGCCAAAAACTGGCACACTGAGATGGCTATGTGAGCAGGTGCATTGTCACGGTGGCAAACCAAGGCCCCGTCTGCCACAAATCAGGCACACTGTTACACTATCTTTTCAGAACCTCTAAATAGAAAGCTTGATTAACAGTCTAACCTGGTGGAACAAACTCCAAATCCACTGTGAGTCAACATTTTCATCCATTCGGGAAGTGGACAGACCTCCAGAATGAGGTTTGTCATCAATCGACATTTCACCTTTTTTTGAAATGAGAAAGCCACTCATACAGTTGAGTTTTTCCCATAGCGCTGTCCTTGTAAGCTGTGTTCAATCACAACAGTTTCTGTGGCATTTTTCCTGAGCAGGAAACAAAATTTCACAGTCACACACTATTCTCTTAAATTGGTCATCACAAAAGATGAGGTTCTAACAAAACTGCTTTTATGAAAAAATTCACTGTGACCAGAGAGAACCTTCCCAGGTGATACCACTGGGTGCCCTAACTCGGAGCGAGTTGCTTGTTGCTCACCTAGTGGGAAACATATGTACTATGAAAGCACAATTCCGGTATTTTGGGGGGTACACCCACGTATTACAGAGGGAACCTGTTACTTCTGAATCCAGCCTGAAACTATTGAGTTCCGGACACACCACTTGTAGCTGTGATCCAGCGATCAGGAACAACCTAAGCCACCTCTTCACATCCTATAAGCTGGAAACTAGCCCCGGGAATTTGAAGTCTGGCTGCCAGAGCCCCCAGAAATGGCAGGGAGCTGAAGAGTGGGTGTAGAACCCTGCTGCAGAGAAACCGCAAGTCGATGTGAAGGGACAGGAAGGCGGTCTTTGCCTCACTTCTACCTTCCAGATCCTGAAAAGCATATCCAGTTGGCAGAGCCCCATTGGTATCCAGACAGGGAGCTGAGGAAAGAGAATCTGGGGCTTTCTAATGGCTACTGTAGAAGGCCCAGGAGAAGGGAGGCCGAGTGCAGGCCACGTGAGCCAGCCGGACAGACCTTTGACTCGTTGCCCACATCCTGTATCGTGAACACGCGTTACTTTTATACTCGACCAGCAACTGAACTTGAACGTGACTCTGTCCCCTGTTTGGAGGCTCTTGTTACACACACACACACACACACACACACACACACACACACACACACTGCCATTCTTTTCTTTGTGCATGTGTTTGTAAACAAAATGTGTGTTTGAGAGCAAGGGAGAGATGCAGGCACACGCTGTTTACTGGCACTTTGTTGTACCTTGAAGGTAGTGGACACTCGTGGAAACCTTTCCTCTAACTACTCTGTTGGCGCCGTTGTTCCAGTAGCAGGTGCTCACTGCCTGTCTTGGTCTCCTGTTTTGGCCATTCTCACATTTCAACCTTTTTCATAATGTTGTTGCATAGTTAATAGACTACAGGATCGTGTAAACATAACTTTTCTGTCCACTTGGACAAAAAAAATCCCTGGAGCTCACTTTATCTCGACTCTCACTTTTATTCTGACGTCCGGAACAAATCTGCACTCAGTCCGTGTCTACATACACACACAGCAGATTACGGTGTACAGTGTACAAACACTTTGGTCGACCTCTCTTTTCAACTTAGGATGCGGTGTTTTCCCCTAGATCAAAAGGGTGTCAGAAGTGTGATCCTGAAGCCCTGCCTGTGTAAGACTGCCGTGAGGACTCCGGCTGGCTCTGCAGGGAGAGACTAGGCCCAGGAGAGCTTCGGGAAGACGTTGGGACCAGAAGAAAGGAGGGCCCTGCCGCCTGACGGGAATGGTGGGGCCCCTGGCTCCCCCAGGGCCTCTCTAAGCTCGTGTCTGGCCTTCTGTAGGGGAGGAACATTGTCATATTCTATGGCTCCCAGACGGGGACTGCTGAGGAATTCGCCAACCGCTTATCCAAGGATGCCCACCGCTATGGGATGCGGGGCTTGGCAGCAGACCCCGAAGAATACGACCTGGTAAGTGTCGTCCCCCGCCCCCCCCTCCCCGCCCCCTCATACGTCATGAGCCCTTGATAATTTATAAATT